CACACACACACACACACACACACACACACACACACACACACACACACACACACACACACACACACAGTTTCAGTTTAAAGCAGGTGTCAGATTCACATATTTGCGTGAGGATTCAGCTGTAAGACTTTTTTCATGAATTGTTTGGTAAATCTAGTGTTGTGATGACAAATAAACAGAACTGATGTGTTGTCAGGTCACTGGACTGTGATTTGATTGGTTGGTGCCGCCATTTTAAAGGTTCCACCGCAGGCAGCGCAAAAAGCAAGTGAGTGGTTGGTTAAATGTGTATTGATTCTGAAATTGCAACAGCTCTTTATATACAGGAAAACTAACCAGAAATAAAACAAAAAAAGGAAAACACCTATGATCTGTACATGATTCTACTGATCAGGAATTTTGCTTGAGGAAATTCTAAATGTGAGAAAATAGCTGAATGGTTTGAGTGATATTTTGGAATATTTAGCTTTCTTGCTGAAGCTGCAACTCTGTAACTAACACATTTTACTTCTCTTCCATTCCGTAAACATTCAAAGAAATACATTGGAACATGTTCATTAGTGGGTTGTACAGGTTTTTAACCTCTGGACAGACCTTTCCCCCCCAAGGTCATTGCCATGGAGACGTTTCATTTACTGAACTTGACGACTCGGTGCCTCTGGTCATAGACAGATGGTAGCTGCTCCCTCTGCGTCTCCAGGTGGGGTCCTCAGCCTTTCTGTTATTCTGGGTTTGCACAAACGATACCTCCCTCCAGGTTCAGCCCACAAGCTATGCTCCATGCTTATTATTGTATTATCATGCTTTCACATGAAAGTGGGTGATGGCAAGATGAGAAACAGACCACAGGTTATTGCTATGGTCTGTGTGTGTGTGTGTGTATGTGTGCGCTCATGCTTTTGCTTGCTTGCTCCAGGCTGTTAGTGGTGTCCATTAGTTGAACAGTAGTTGGATGAAGTCTGTTTGTCCAGCTGCTGAATCATCCCCCCCACCAAGCTCTCACCCTCTCTCTCTCTCTCTCTCTCTTTCTCTCTCTCTCACTCACTCACTCACACGATTCTTAATCCTAGAGAAACTTTTAACTTTACCCTTGACTAACTTCACATAAACCCCATAGCCAATATCTTTTCTTTTCCAGATTAAGAACAACTTTGCAAAAATCTGCTATTCCCTCTCGACACAAAGACACATACACACACACACACACAGTCACACACAGTCACACACACAGTCACACACACAGTCACAGTCACACTCACACACTGCAGCCTTCTGGCCTCATGTCCCATCTAAATGGATCTTCCTCTCCCCCTCTTACAGAGGCATGTCTACATAGGCCATGTCCGTCTGCCTCTTTCTCCTCCCTCTGTCCCT